TGACACAATTTCGAAGTGATAATAAAATTTCTAAGTAATTATTTTTAGTCACCAGTAATACCAACAACTTCTAATTCTTCTAACAAACAACAGGTTGTAGTGTTAGATGAAACGACAGGGGAATTCAGGTTCATTGAATGTGGTGGAAAATCCTTAAATAATAAACCTAAATCACAATCCACAGGTTTCATCCTAGATGAGAAAACGGGAGAATTTATTGAAAAAAATACCATAATGTTTTGTCCTCTTACCAAGATTTCGATGAGGTTTTTGACACTGATATCCACCCAGTTACAACAAGTAATTTTACTGATTCAAGCGATTCCTGTTTTCGCAGAAATGAAATAGATGAAAACTCAGGTATGGTTACTAAAAAAAGGAGAAAGAAAGGGCAGGGGAATCCGGATAGGTGGCAAAAAAATGTTAACATAAATGCTAGACAAAAAAGAAAAGAGTACTACAGTGTAAAAAAAGCGAACGGTAAAATAATAGAAAAGCAGAAAAGGGAGAAACGTATACTCTTACCAAGTTGCAGTTCCAAGAAGTGTGAAAAGAGTAACTGTTTTAAGTGTAACGAAGTCACGAAGGCTGAGAGGAAAGAGTTGTTTAATTCATTTTGGAAAAACATGACTTGGGAAGAGCGAAAGGTGATGATTGCGAACCTAGTGGAAAAGCGTTCCGTAGCTCGCCGTACAAATAAAACAGATTCTAATTCAAGACGTAATAAAACATTAAGATCTTTTATAAACATATGCAACAAAAAAGTACCAGTCTGCAAAAAAATGTTTTTAAGCACTTTCGGCTTAGGAGAATCTGCTGTTAATAATAGGGTTGAAAAATCTAATGATTATGGAGTTCCTCTTCGAACAGCAACAAAAGATAGAAAGTCGTCCGCAATCAATCTTCAAAAAGAAAAGCATATCATAGATTTCTTACAAATGTTTCCCAAGATGGAATCCCATTATTGTAGGAAAAAAAACAGACAAACTGTATGTCGACCTCACTTATAGCTCTTACAAAGATGTATTCAAAGCATACGAACAGTATTTCGCAGATAAAAATATTCTACTTAATGAAAAATCTTATGTATCATTTTTAAAAGTTACACACTCTGAACATTGGTTTATTTAAACCTAAAAAAGATCAGTGTGACCTATGCTTTAGTTTCAAGAACGGCAGTATTGACCAAACATCCTACGAAGAACACACTAGTAATAAACATAAGGCAAGAATGAAAAAGGATTATGATAAAGAAAGAGCCTTAGGAGGTGTAATAAATGTCTATACTTTAGATGTACAAGCTGTTCAATTAGTGTCACTAATAGCTGCATCATCAACTTACTTTAAGCAAAAACTTGCTGTACATCAATTTACGTTTTTTAATTTGAAAACGTCCGAGGTATTTTGTTACATTTGGCACGAAGGTGAAGAGGGGATGGACTCAAATGTTTTCGCCTCCTGTGTTGCTCACTTTTTAGAAGAACTTTCTGACCTTAACATTCCAACAGTTCTATTTAGTGATGGTTGTTGCATGCATAACCGAAATGTCACGTTGGCCAACGTATTGCAATTCATTGCAATTAAACATAATGCAACAATTTATCAAAAATATTTAACAGTTGGACATACTCAGATGGAATGTGACTCAGTACATTCAACAATAGAGAAAAAAAAGTCCAAGGAGATGTATATTCCAGCTGATTTCGTTCGAATTGTCACAGACGCTAGAGTCTCTCCAGAACCATATAAAGTACACTATATAGATCACAAATTCTTCAAAAAATTTTCGGGAATACAGTTTTACAAATCTATACGGCCCGGCTTTAAAACGGGTGATCCGCAGGTTACAGACCTAAAATGTTTAAAATATGACTCAGCCGGCATGTACTATAAGTTGGATTACAATAACGATTGGACCTTGTCACCCCAAAGAAAAACGAAAATTAATATTTTTAAAAATAATTTTACTCCTNAATAAGTTGGATTACAATAACGATTGGACTTTGTCACCCCAAAGAAAAACGAAAATTAATATTTTTAAAAATAATTTTACTCCTTTATATTCTAATTCTATACAAATAGCAAATAGAAAATTTAATGACCTGCAGAGTATGAAAATGCTGATACCACAAGATTATCACAGCTTTTATGATAACTTAAGTTTTACCACTTAAAATAATTTCTTATTCTTTGCTCATTTAAGAACTTATCCTTACAGAAAGTGAGTGAATTTGTTTAACTTTTTGAAATTTCCTTTGATTTTTTAAATATTTTAGCTTAAATCATGACCACAACGTTATTTTTTAAATAAAAATACATCCAACAATAACATTTATATAACTACAATTCAGCATTTTTCTTCACAATAACATTAAAATGATCGACAGAGATTTCGCATGAAAGCTGTAACATCGTATCTGCTATTTCCTGACTACAAAAAATGCAGAACGGAACGTCGTAACTAACAAAAGTTGTTACAACTTCGGAATATTCGTAAATAAATAGAAAACAAAATTCAGTACATATCCGTAATGACAAAACTAAAACAATAAGGCATAGAATCTTAGTACTTTGTTTTACTGAGAGAAAATAAAAGTTTTTCTTGATTTCTGAATTCTATATACGAGGTAAAGGCAGAAACGGAACGATATGTGTAAGTGCCAATCTATTATTATTATTATGTATACATTAATGCATTTAGATTTTACTTAAAAATCGATATGAACATACATGCATATTTAATTAAGCTTAAAATTGTACTTCCTCACTCTTGTACTTCACGCCATTGACTGAATTCAACTTCGCTGCAAATTGAACAAAGCAAAACATGATTTTTATGCGAGACATATTTCCACAGAAAGTAACGGCAGAAAAAGGATTTTTTTGATATTCATTTTATTTTTCAGCTGACTACGATGCAGCATTCTACTTTGCATTCCCCGAAATGAAACAAAGAAGCGAAATAAATAAAGTATTGTAGGACATTCTACTTTGCATTACCGGCAATGCCTAAAAGAAGCGAAAAAAATTCGAAGGCATTATAACGCTATGCCCTCTAAAACACGTTATCATTAAAAGCGACTACCGATTTTTTGCTGGGAATCCTTAAAGTTAGTATACGTACATACATATGTCTGTATTTATGCTGATGCATTTCTATGGTGAAATTATAAGCAGGTGAAGTAATAAAAAAGCTTTCTCGCTTTATTTTCCTGACATGCGGCTATTTTATACACATTTTTAAAGGCAAATTTTCAAATAAGATAGGGCAAATCTTTCATCTCGCTCTTATTACTACACCTGGTATAGTTTCACCATGATGAGGTTCAATTGATTAATTTGTTTGTTTACAGTTCATTGACATTAGGTGCAATCCCGTATTCCTCGGACTCGGACTCGTAAAACTGTCAAAAAATAAAAATTCGCTCAGAGCGAGAGAGTAACATTGAAAAGTACGAGATCGCTTTCTAGTAAAAAATGGTAACTTCTGTCAACTTCAACATAACCTCCAAATTTTGGTTGTAAATTTTTGCTTATTTTGGTATGTAAACACACTCAGCTCACACATGTAAATAACCAAAAATACTTTCAAATTCATTAGAATCCACTTAAACAAGTAATTAAATACTTTTCAACACGAATTAGCAGAGTGCATTTTTCTTTGGTTACAATTTGGTTGCCGAACACACTACAGCTGATCGTTTGACACATTTACCAGAATTTACCAGCGAAAAATTCTCGGACTAAAACTGGTAAGTCCTGACAGAGAGAGAACCGTATTTACTCTCTTTTTTGTCCTCTCAATAGTCAGAGAACCGAGTACGGGATCGATTTCCAGTACAATCTGACTAGGCCAGACTCGTACGGGATCGCAACTATTATAACTAGCTACAAGAGAGTTCGAGCTAGTTGTCACTTCTACCTTATTAAATATGCCTTGCGTATTAAGATTTTCTTTCATAACCGGGGCGTTACACATTCAATTTTCCCCTTTCAATTTTCAATACTCACACTTTTTCACTAACACACTCTTCTTTATTGCTTGAATGGGCAACTTGCTTTCAATTTTTCCCTTTCAATTGAGTTTCAATTTTGCTTTCAATTTTGATCAGCATTTCAGCATTGACGTGGGAATTTAGTGAAAATAAAAAAATACTAAGCTTATGCAAACTAAAATGTTAATCTACAATGGAATTAAAATGGAAAATGGTCTTCAGAAGCTACTTAGTTACATTGTTTTCGTTCGGGTTGCCAGATTTTGAAACGTAGAAAGGAGTACATTTATATTTTCGATAGACATGACATAAAAAAGGAGTACAATTTTTTTTTTGTGCAATTTATTGTTACAAATTACCATTAATTAGGTACAAACAAACAAAGATATCTTAGAAATCTTTTTCAAAGCAACAATAAATGTGAAAAATAAACAACTATATGGGTTGGCTTTCCAATAGGGACGGTTGTTAAAGAGATGGTGATCGAAGGGGGAGTGGACGTGGCACCTTTTCCGACCTTTTTAGAGAGGGCATGAACCGCCATTGACAAAAATGTTACTCCCGACCACCTAGGGCCCCGATGGTTCCCCAGGGACCCCTTAGAAAAAAGGGGTTTTCAATGACCGCCCTTATAGGAAAGTTTCCCCAACTAAAAGACTAAAAACTACAAAAGAACTCCAGACTCTTCCTGAATGTATGACCATTTTTTTAATATAAGCCTTATAATTAATTTAATATTTTTCTGATTTTTATACTCGAGCGCCCTGCACCTAAGGCCATGCTTACACACCTTTTCACTATCACACTTAACTTTGCTTACTAAGAAGGGTTTGCCATAATATGAATGGTAAAGTACAGCGCGTAAAATAATAACTGTCGCACAGGTTTTTTGAAAAATAAAAGGGTTCTTTATAGATTTTGTGTTTCTTTTGTTAACTTTGTAAATATTTTACTTTAATTTTATTAATTGGTTCTAAAATTTTAATCCTGATTTGCATTTGCCAGCTTTGGGAGATAAGTACATGCGGCACAAATAGCCCTGCCAGATAGAGCACGTTACGTGCGTTCCGCTCAAGGATGAAACTGACAGTTGAGTAGACTGTGTGTGTTTGCATAGAGAGCGCCAGATTGGCAACCCTTGCGTTGACGGAACCCACGAACGTTGGCCAACACATCTTTTGACGCAAGTAAGTCCGGCAATGTTCACATTTGACATTTCAGTATCATTCGCAACATAATTTGGAAATATTTAATGGAGTATAAATTAATAGAAGCGGCGCAAATTCACCCTTGCTTATATGATAAAAGCATAGGGGCTTATAGAAACCGGTTGGCGAAAGAAAAAGCCTGGAATTATGTGGCGGGCGCTACAGGTTGCAGTGGAAAGTGGTGATTGAATAATCTTGTGAGTGTTTTCCAATGTTTTTAAAAATTAATCCGCAGTGGAACAGCGTCAGAGTCGGTGGACCGATTTGTGAAGGAAGAAAGTGGAAGAAAGGCGCCTTCTGCGAGTGCTGCAAACGACATGGTCAGTAATGGATGGAAATATTACGAGGCACTGGCATTCCTGCAACGGCACGTGTCACCACGCAAGTAATTTATGCAACCATTGCTATCATTGAATCCACTGTAGTCAGATCTTTCGTGAAATCTTCAAAAAGCTATCACTGAATTCGGATACATATGTATGTACATACTTACAGCGTGGCGACGAATAACTGTTACCCCGGTTTTTTTGAGAAATAAAAGGGTCCTTTATAGATTTTGCGAAAAAAGTATTTTATTGTCAATTTTCCACAGATTTTACTTTAGTTGTATTAATTAGTTATTAAATTTTAATCCCTATTTACATTTGCCAGCAGTTTAAACTTTGAGAGAAAAGTTCATTTGGCACGCAAGTCTTTTTCAGGTGTATTTTTTCTTAGGCTTTGTATAAAAAAATACAAAAAAGAAAAAACCTGTATAAGGTTGGTCGAATGAATGGCCGTCCTAGTCACCAGTTCCGAGTCTATTCGATTTTTGAGTATGAGCCCTTATGTCGAACAAAAGCGGGAGTATAAGGGACTCAAAATGGACAAAATTTGCCTATGGTTACAGAAGATATGGAATAAATTAACTGACGAAAACCTGCGTGCCAAATGAACTTTACTCTCAAAGTTTACACTGCTGGCAAATGTAAACAAGGATTAAAATTTGAAAACTATTTAATACAACTAAAGTAAAATCTGTGGAAAATTAACAACAAAATACTTTTTTGGCAAAATCTATAAAGGACCCTTTTATTTCTCAAAAAAATCTGGGTAACAGTTATTCGTCGCCACGCAGTACATAGCTACGAACGTAGCATATACTTTGAAAGCATACGTTCCAAGGAATTGATATTCAGTGATTACATTTTCGTAGTTTCACAAAAATCGGACTGCGATGGTTACAGTGATAGTCCCGAATACCTAATAGAGTATTACGGAGTTACACCGCATGATCGCCTTAAATAATAGACATATTTTGGAATTTTAAAAATGTTTTAGAAAAAAAATTTAATTCTAGCTGTCGCTAACTGTGTTGTAACACCTTAAATAGNAACGGAGTTACACCGCATGATCGCCTTAAGTAATAGACATATTTTGGAATTTTAAAAATTTTTTAGAAACAAAATTTAATTCCAGCTGTCGCTAACTGTGTTGTAACACCTTAAATAGTCTTCATGTGACTACAAGGTTTTGTTTGTACATATATTATTTAAGGACATTTGGCAACGCAACGTTTGGTACCACCATAGATCGTGAAAAATGCGCACCGCAGCCAGAGCATTCCATTAATGTATATGAGTTGCAACCTCTTTTCGAATATTGCGAGGATGAAGAGCCCGTATTTGAGCAGACGCAGCAGACAGGGCTAACTACAGTGGTTCACCAATCACCGTCAACGTCTCTTGTTGACTTCCAACCCTAAAAAGAGCCAATTGTGTCCACTTCTAGAGCATTGAATCGGAAAAAAGATGAGGAGCGATTGGACACCCTATGTGGAGCCGTAAGCGACTGGATAAAAAAAATCAGATGCTGCTCCACAACCAGTTAGCCGTAACTCCGATTTTTTAAATGTTCTGGACAAATATCTTCTGAAATATGAAGAAGATGTTCAAGACAGAATGAAAATTGGAATACTGAATTTTGTTTTTAATGGCGGGCAATTTGTTGTCATGTAAAAACCGTATTTTACTTTTATTTCAATTAATTTATTTAATCATTTTAATTGAATTTGTTTTTAATGGAATACAATTTGTTGTCTTTATTTCATTTTTTATTTTAATTCTTTTTTTACATAAACTGAATAGAAAGTACAAAATGAATGTTATGAAATGAACTGATGTAAAAATTCAAAATAATTTATTGTTATACGTTTTGTATATACAGTGGTGGAAGAAATAATAGAAACTTTTTATTTTGACCAGTTTTGGCTATATTACTTTTGTTTATTTAATGTTTAATATTTTTTATAAAAGCCTAGCGCATTATATTACACACCATATAAATCCGCATTTCAAACTTTGTATAAAAATTAAAAAAGTTCGACAAATATTACCAAAATACTAAACAAAAAGTTTTAAATTTTTGGGGGATTTCGCTAAAATTTGTTGAATTTTTATAATTTTTGTACAAATGTGGATTTATATGGTGTGTGTTATATAATGCGCTAGGCTTTTATAAAAAATATTAAACATTAAATAAACAAAAGTAATAAAGTAATATAGCCAAAACTGATCAAAATAAAAAGTTTCTATTATTTCTTCCACCACTGTAAATATATATATATATTTGTGCATGTATACATTTATTAAAATAAGACGGCGTTCACTTATCAATTTGTAAATATTCACAAAGCTTTTTGTGTTAAATCTTTTTTATTTTTAACTGGTTTATATTATAAAAAAAAACATAAATCCAAGTTTCAAACTTTATATTATACTCAGAAAAGTGAAGGAATTTTCATTAAAATTTCAAACTTTATTAAATTTTCTAAAAAAAAAAAAATGGTACACAGTCCTATAGTCCATTATTTTTTACTATAATAAAGTGCAAGTGTGAAACCATGAGGGTATATATGTGTCAAGGTAACAAAATATTAAAAATCAACTTGATTTTTTGCAACTTCACATTGGCAATTTATAATATTAAAAATAATAGACTATAGGACTGTGTTCCAATTTTAATAAATAAAGTTTGAAATTTTAATGAAATTTTTTTAACTTTTCTGAGTATAATATAAAGTTTGAAACTCGGATTTATGTGTTTTTTATAACATAAACCATTTAAAAATAAAAAATATTTAACACGAAAAGTTTTGTGAATATTTAAAAAGAACTTATTCTACCAGGTGTCTGTACATGATCTCTTGTAACGCAATAAAATGTAATGTTATAAACTTAATAAGAAAATTTTATTTAAATAAATAGATATCACAAAAATAGGTATTACAAAAGCTCATGTACATATACAGTGCCGCGCAAAATAATTGACACAGAATTTTTCACAATGTATGCAAAATTGTTTACTCTTTATTTTTTTTAATTTTTTATAAAACTACTGTTCAGACTACAACAAAAACAAAAAAATAAAATATCTAAACTTTGTGCAAAGCTCAGGAAAATTTAATAAATTTGTATACATATTTGCAACTTTTAATCGGACTGCAAAAATTCTAAGAATGCAGTTTTATAGCCCATTCAATTTTGGTATAACAAAGTGCAAAAACCTACGCAATTTCTTAGCAAATAAAATTTAATGAGCTATAAAACTGCATTCTTACAATTTTTGCAAAAAGTCTGAATAAAAGTTGCAAATATGTATACAAATTTATTAAATTTTCCTGAGCTTTGTACAAAGTTTAGAGATTTTATTTTTTTGTTTTTTGTTGTAGTCTGAACAGTAGTTTTATAAAAAATTGAAAAAAAATAAAGATTAAACAATTTTGCATACATTGTGAAAAATTCTGTGTCAATAATTTTGCGCGGCACTGTATATGTACATGAGCTTTTGTAATACAATGAAAGGTTATGTTATGAACTGATTAAGAAAGCACGAAACCAGTTGTGAAGTGAAAGTATGAACTGAATTAAAAAATAAAATTACTGTACAAAATAAATTGTTATAAGTTTTGTTTCAATTCTTAAATGTACAGTGGCTGTACAGTGTACAGTGAGCAGTGAGTTATGTCAATATGTGGTGCGGCTATAATTTTAATTTTCATATTATTTCACATTATTTATTATTATTATTTCATATTCTTTTCATATCAAAATAACAATATGCATATACAGTGTAGGTCATATCATTTTGGACCAAATTCGAAATGATACTGTTTGTGTTTACTACAGAAGCCATATAAATAAAAGTTGAAAACTTTGTACAAAATGTATAATTAAAAAGATTAAAAAGAAAATCGTAAAAATTTTGAAACTTGTTAATCAGAATTTTTAAAAATAGTTATGCAATTTTGTAGCCTATTATATTCTAGTATAATAAAGTGCAAGTTTCAACTAGCTAAAGATTACGCAAAAAAGATGCGCAACACTCGTTAATCTTTAGCCACTTCAAATTTGCACATTATTATACTAAAATTGTATGGGCTATGAAAATGTATACCAGACATTTTTATTAAAAAATCTATACTTTTAATGAAAATTCGTTGAACTTTCGGTAATTTTGTATACTGTTTGAATCTTTGATTTGTATTGTTTTTGTTATTGCATGCCATCATGTTTGCGTCTCCGCTTAGCAAACTCATCTTGGATCTGTTGAGGCTAAAAATAGTATTATATGTTAACTATTTTCGCACATTAGACAAGAAATATGAATCACCTTTTTCTTTATTGCGCCATCCTTTGGATTGGATGGGATACAAGGTAACTCTTCAGATCATCTCTTAATTTAAACGCATTTGGTGAAGCATTGTTCGAACTTATCCGCTTAGCTCTTTGCAAGGGGGTCGAAATATCACTCCGCCACAATCCTCTTCTGATCGAGTCGCCGCGGCGCGCCGTCCTCCTGGTCAACATATTCCGGCGGACAATAGCTACCATCGCGCATCTTGAGAAAATTGTGAATGAGAACAGTAGCCTTTACAATTTTCTCGGCAGATGAAGGACTCATTTGTAAGGGAGTTAAAAGGATTCTCCATCGACAAGCCAAAATCCCAAATGCATTTTCTATAACACGGCGCGCTCGAGATAAACGTTTGTTAAAAATTTGCCTCTCCAGAGATAAGTTGGTTCCTAAAATGAGTAAATGCGTTTAATTAGAAAATACGAATTTTTAAATTGTTCATACAAACCTGGGTACGGACTCATTAAAAATGGCTTTAACGGGAACGCATTATCTCCAACAAAATAATGGGGAAATGTTGTGTCAGAGTCTGGTAGTACATCGTTTTTAGGAAGATCCAGTTTTCCACTATAGAGCTGTTTCCCAAAGCCAGAATTCCATAACACGCCACCATCACTTTGCGAGCCGTAAGCTCCAATATCAATGCAAGTGAAAGTATAATTCGCTTCACACACCGCCAGCAGAACACTGGAATAGTTCCTTTTATAATTATAAAAAAGGGAACCTGAGTTTGATGGGCAAAATATGTTATGTGCTTGCCAATACAATTGGGTAAATTCCACATGGAATTAAAATCGGTAGCGATACGCTTCCGAATTTGTGAGAGGGCTTCTAAAACGTATTTTTGCCCGATTTAATCACTTAAAAATTTAGGAAATTGGCTATTTTTCATCCAATTACATAATAACAAATATTTTAACAGAAAACAGCTCAATATTTGCTTTCACATTAAAATATCAATAATGTTGCCGCCACGAACTTTTCATGCAACTGAACATGTAGCTGTCAAACTACCAAATTGCCGGCAATTGATGCCAAGATATAAGCTCTGATATATATTGCTTTTGAAGAGCAATGAGCGGTCTCCATTGGCTATTTATATTCTAACATATGTATAAAGATATAAACTTTATTCTGTGGAGACGGGCAGTTAGGAATCGACAAATAAATTGGCCCAAGTATCTCCCACAAAGCATCGCACGTTTCTGCCACTATTTCCTTCATTGTGGAAAGTCCAATTTTAAAGGCAGAAGCATAAAACTGTTTACTTCCTCCGTGAGCCAAATAACTATAATTTAGAATATTTAATTCATGATATATGAATAACTTACCAGAGGGTCAAGTAAAGTCGATATTCTGGAGAAATGGATGGCCTATTAGAATTGTTTCTAGTAATCCTTTCCTTAATAAAATTAAGAAGCATTTCAAAAACGTGCTTTTCCATCCTTATATTTTTATTAAATTCCTCCCTAAATCCAAAATTCGGGGCGAAAAATCCGTGAGTGTCCCGATTCTGTAGAAGAGATCGCACCCACCATCTACGGCCTCCATAAAGCCTGTTAAAGCATTCTCTGGCTTCCAGCAACATTAGCAATATTAAAATAACTTCACTTATTTCCATTTTTTGTATCTTCTTCACAAATATTAGCACAACTAAAAATATAGATATATTTTGAATTCAAAGAAAAATTTGCCGCCAGTACAAAACAGCTCACTTATTTACATGCGACAACGCTTTCATTGTGGCGTACCTATGCGTTTCGTACGCCTTGTTAGTTGAACGCTGAAGCCGGAACGTACGTAACGTACTCTATCTGGCAGGGCTAGAATCTCTTTTTCAGGTTTATGTTTTCTTAGATTTTGTATAAAAAAAGAAAAAAAAACCTGTATAGGGTTGGTCGAATGAATCCCCTCTTAGTCACCAGTTTCGAGTCTTTTCGATTGGTGAGTATGAGGCCTTATGTTGGACAAAAGACGAAGTATAAAGGACCCAAATGGGCGAAATTAGCCTATGGTTACAGAAAATATGTAATAAAGTAACCGACGAAGACTTGCGCTTTTCTCCCAAACCCACTGGTAAACCAAAATGAAGGTTAAATTTAAAGACTATACAACAACTACTTTTTTTACTTGCGCTTTTCTCTCAAAGTTTTTACCGCCGGTAAACCCAAATGAAGGTTGAAATTTAAAAACAAATTAACAAAATGTTAGTAAAATCTGTGCATAATTTATTAAAAAAAAAAATGTGCAACAGATATTATTTTACACCCTGTATTTGATAAAATATTCGTCGCCGCTGTGGTGTAGTGGTAAGCAGTGCGCGCTTCCACTCCGCAACGCCTGGCTTCAAGCTCTGGTCAAAGCAACATCGCAAAAAAATATAGAAAAAAGGTTTTTTCTTAACAGCGGTCGTCCCTCGGCAGGCAATGGCAAACCTCCGAGTGTATTTCTGCCATGAAAAACAGCTTCTCATAAAAATACAATCGCCGTTCGGAGTCGGCGTAAAACTGTAGGTCCCTCCGCTTTGTGTGACAACATCAAGGCGCAC